CATTCCTGGGAGAGGGCCTCAAGCTCCCAGCCAGCGGCCACCTGCACTGTTCCCCTGCCGCTGGGAACGTGCGTGTCCAGGTGTCCAGTTGGGTGTCTGCGTTCTGTCTCTTGGGTGCATACTCACGAGTGGAGTCTCCGGGGTGCGCGGTACCACGGTGCCCATGGTGGCGGCTTCTTAGAGCCCCAGCAGCCATGCCAGCACTTGTTAGTATCTGGTTTGCCTCGTGTTGTCGTTCTGACTCAATTTACCCAGAGACCAGGGGGGTATCTCTTCCTGGGTTTGATGACCAGATCACCCCCTTGCAGATGAGTGGGACGGCTTGCAGAGAGAGACACAGAGTCATCTCTTGGCCCACAGCTGATGGCCACGGACGTGGGGGACAGAATGATGGCTGCCCACAGGTTTGGGGGACACCCCTCAAGGATGGGGGACTCCTCTGGACAGGGCACCCTTAAGGTTTGGGGGAACCTTTTGGGATGGGAGATCCCTCAGGGATGGGGGAAAATCAATGACGGAAGAGCCGTCAGGGACAGGGGACCCTCGGGGACAGGGGACTGCTCCGGGCTGGGTCTTCCCAGACCAATCACCTTGAGCAATGCCTTCCCCCAGCAGGTCCCTGCAGCGCCTCCTGCCGCCCACCCGGGGGGCGCACACTGGCTGGAGGGGGCGGGTGGACGTGAGACCCTGCTCCTGCCCTGTCTGGGTCCTCCACCTGGCTCAGGGGACACCCAGACCTGGGCGCTCTGTTCAGACGCAGGGAGGGCACCGGAGCCCCCAGAGCCGGTGGACACAAGCCCTGCTTCCCTCACGGCGACTGAGGCCTCCGAGTTCAGGGAGAAGGCACAGGGGTGTGGAGCGTCTGGGGGTGGCATAGGTCAGGGGGCTGTTTCCTCTGCGTCCGTGGGATTTGCCCTCAGCCCCTGAGCGGGGTTCTTTCGTTGCTGTCCCCAGCGTTGCCCAACCCTTCATTGGAGCCTGTCCCCTCAGGGCAACCCTGGAAGGGAGGGCAGGATGCTGCCCTGTGCCGAGGCTCTGAAGGGTTGAGCCCCTCCCAGGGTCACCCAGCTTCCCTCCCGCGGTCATCAGCCCGCCACCGGCCACCCCGCACGTCACATTCCACAGCCTGGCCGAGGCGGCCACCCGGACGGTCTCTGGGAACGCGTGGAGGTCAGGGCTTGGAGGGCTTAGCCCACATGCCCCCTTTCCCCCTCGGCCCCAGGCATGACCTCCACGCCTGCATCCACGCACACTCCTGCAAACGCGAAGCCGAGCCGCTCGCGCACCCTGACTCTGGGGTCTGCAGCACCTGTCGCTTCCCCCCAGGTCCGGCCGTGGACCCCATCCCCGCGCCACCCCCCGCGACAGCCGCTCCTTAGTCCCGCATCGGGTGGGCGTGCCAAGAGGGGGCTCTGCTGGTCAGGAGGGAATCTTTTTGTGGTAAAAAATGAGGCTTGTGGCATCAGCTCCAGGAGCGGTGGGAACCGCCAGCACAGGTCGCCCCAGCAGACTGATGGAAACCCTGCTTTATGAAGCCGCGGCTCCCCCATTAATTAGGGGGAGGGGGCCCTCCGCGCCACCCGCGCACCTCGCCCGTGGCCAAAAGCTTGTCAACATTTTCCACGAAGAATGAAAATGTAAATAACTTTCAGATTATTCAATGTCACCAAGGTATGGAAAAAGGTCGCAACGCTGGGTGTCATTTATCTCGTTGTGGATTTAAAGAGCTTTTTTCTATTAAATTTCTTAAAATTAATGTTTTATGTTGCTCAGAGTAATTTGAACAATTATGGGCTTAAAGAATTGATCATTACAGCCCCTGGAATTGAGAGCTCCAGACTGATCCCTGCAAAAACCCATTGATTTATAGTCTTGGTGCTCAACCAGGAGAGTTCCCAGGGCTTGGATCCCCTCCTGTCCACATCTGGGGGGACAAGTCCCTCAAGACAAGCCAGCTGGTGGGGGGAGTGAGGAGGGAGATGGGCAAGCCTGGGAGCAGGTGCGTCCCCTCCTCTCAGGGAGAGGCAGGTCCTGGGTTTGGGAGTGTCCTTTGAACTTTTGCCTCCTGTGTGAATTTTGTATTTAAAAGGAGAGAAAATCCTTTATGTATTGGTCGATATTGTTATTTATATCATTCACGCATTTACATTTGATAATGTCAGACATCTATGGGTTCAAAGGTTAATAAGCCTTACCCGCCCCCCCCGACCCCCCAAAAAAGGTTAGCAAGCTCAAGGGCTGTCCCCACCCAGGTGGCCCCCCAGCCCGGGGGCACCTGATGCCTGCTGGTAACGCCGGTCTGGGTCTGGGCAGTGCCCGCTGCCATGCCAGTCCCGGCGAGGGCCCCGGGCACCCAGCTTCGTGGTGGCGCCCGGATATGGAGCTGTGTTTCCACCCGGGGGGTGCTCCGCTCAGATGGGGACGCCAAAGCCAGAGATGGGGGCGAGTGAGCACCGCAGGCCGGCTGCGGGTCTGACGGCCAAACGCCTCCACCGGGTGCCTGGGCCCAACGCGCCCGTCCCTCCAGCACACCAGCCGGGGTCTCGGGCTTCCCACACGCGGGCTGGGCCCAGCCCCCAGGGGTCTCAGAGGCTGCCAACCCCGGGGCCACCGCCCCGACTCGGCTCCGGGATTATCGACGCGCCGCCAGCTGGAGCGAGCTCGGTGGGCAACTGCCAACAGGCGGAGGGCCCCATGGGGACACTTAGCACTTTATTAACCTGTCAGCGCCTAAAAGGCCCCGGGTGGCCTGGGGGAGGGGCTCAAGGCGGGAGGAGGGGTGACGACTTGAGGATTTACACACGCACACCCCCGCCCCCCACGGCGGCCGGGTCAGATAGCGCCCACCCTGGTGCCCCCCACCCCTGCCCGGATCACAACTCAGCCCGGGCTGCTTTCCTTTCCAGGGGCTCCCCAGCCCCCGGGAGGAAGTGCGAGGTAGACCGCTGCAGGACCCCGCCCCACCAGCCCCAGGGCCTTCCCCTGCCCCACCCTGGGGAGGCCTGACCTCTGAGCACCCCCTGCCAGGCCAACCCAGGCCCGTCACACTTCCCGGCGCCACAACTCTGCTCACGGTGGGCGCTGTCTCACAGGCCACCGTCTCACGGGCCACCGTCTCATCCTCCTGCTCCAGTGCGGTCTGGACACCCCCAGCTGCACTCCCTGTTCGCAGCCCCAGATGGAACGGCCTCGGGGGCCCCTTCTAGCCCCAACTCCTCTCCTGGTACCTCCCAATTCCCAGTCCCCGGGGCTCCCGTGAGTGCCTCTTTGATGTCTTGACAGCGAGGACAGCTCCCATGGAACACCCCGCCTCCCTCCCACCATCCACCACTCTTCCCCTGCCCTGGGGACTCAGGCTTCCACCCGCCTACATGCCCAGCTGTCCCGCGGGAGGCCGCAGTCCTGCCCTCCAGGGAGCACTCACCTGCTTGGTGAGCATCGACTCTCTTCTTAACGCCTCCCCTTGGAGGAGCTGCGAGCAGTGTCTCCACTTTGCAGGACGACAGGGCTCAGAGAGGGCAGCTCACTTGCCCAGAATCACACAGCAAGTTAGCAAATGGCTAGGATTGGAATCCAAGTCGGGAGACACCCGGGACCTTGCACCGGGAACCTCCGGATGGGCTGGGTCTGGCTGCCCTGCCCCCACCCGTTGCTGCCGCTCCCCACTGGGAGCACACTCCCGTCACCCCAGCCCCCGCCTCTCCCAGGGCCCGGGTACCCGTGCACCAGCCCACCCCCCAGTGGCTGGGCACAAGGTTTTCCCACCTCCCCTTCCGGTGCTCAGAAGTTTGGCCAAATTCCAGGGACAGAGGGGCCCAACTCACAGCAAGTGCCGTCCCTGCCACGGACGGCTTCCCGCTTTCGGAGAGCCACTCCACCCCCAATGCCCCTGCGCCCGTGCACCCCCCCGCCGCACTAGAGACCCGGACCTTCTCGACTGTCACTGACAAATTTATTGAAGTCTTGGAAAGAGCTGATAGTCAGAGAGTAAATAAAAAACACGGGATGTCCACAGAACTGACAGGTAGCTTGGGATGCAGGTTTGCGGGGACAACTGGGTCTCACCCACCGCTGGCCTCGGGGTCTGGGGCAGGCGGCCACAGGCGCTGGGTGGAGGAGGCCGCCCAGTCCTCCGGCAGCTAGAGCCCAGTCCGAGAGGGAGGGCTGCAGGCTGTTTGGCAACGGAAATCAGCGGGTTGGGCGTGGCCTGGACGCCGAGGGCCAGGGGCAGCTGTGACGGGGGAGGGGATGGAAATTTGGTGTAGGCAGGGAGGGAGGTCCCCACGGCCTTAACCTTAACGCGTTGCTCCTGGAGAAGAAGGGCGGCCCGGCAGGGGTGTCTCCTCCCGACAGGTGGTAGAGTCAAGAACAGAAAGCTCTAGAGCCAGGTCCCCAGGGAAGACCAGAGAGGAGGCTCCTGGGGGAGGTGGGTGTTGGGACCAGAGGGACACGGGTGTGGTCCCTGCTTGGCCGCCTCTTGCCCAGACAGAAGAGGCCCATCTCTGACCAAAAGTGGGCCTCCATCAGGGAGATGGAGCCCGGAAAGAGAAGCATGGTTCGTGCTCTGTGTTTTCATTTCAGACAGTAAAGCCTCCTCCAGCCCAAAGACGGCGTGGCCCTGGGCTGGAGCGCGGCAGGGGGAAGGCCCAGCCTGGGTGGGGGGATGCTTCGTGTCTAGAAACAGCAAGCGTCCAGTTAATTGGTCGATCAAGGGAGAAATCTGCTTACAAAACACGGCTCGCTGGCGGCCACCAGGCTGGCGGCCTGTGTCTGAGACGGAGCGGGCACGGACAGGAGCCGCTGGAGTCCCTCTGCCCCCGAGGGAGGGGAGCGGGGTTGGGCGCTCCGCAGAAAGGAGCCCTCCTTTGAGGTCTCATCCTGTCCCCTGCGGGCGCCCGTGGCACCTGCTTTCCTGCCGAGGTGCTGGGCTCTGGGAGAGGAGGGGAGGGTCGCCTCGGGCCCCCCAGCCAGGGCCAGCACTGTTTCCCACACCCCTTGCGTCCGGAGTTCGGTGGAGCCGGGGGCCTCGGTCAGAACTGGCCGTGGTCCACCTCATCCAGCCAGGAGGCGGGGCTGGCAGGGAAGTCGGGGTAGCCCCCGCTGCTCCCTGTGGACAGGTCGGAGCTGGGTCCGTTTCCCGCTAGCACCCTCATGGGCGGGGGCCCACCTGGGGCCCCCGCGGGCACCAGGCCCAAGCTGGCATCCGGGTATACTAAGCCAGAGAGAAGGGGCTGGGGGCCAGGGAGGCTCTGCAGGGCAGCTGGTGATGGAGGGACACCATAGGGGCTGCCGGGGCGCAGCTCGCGGTACTGCTCCGGGCCGGCCAGGCTTCCGTGCTCCAGTGGGAAGCTGCCTGGGGCTCCCACAGGCCTGCCCAAGGCCGGGGTGGACTCCCCCAGGCTTCCGTAGAGGCCATTGGCAGGGCCCATTTCGGCCACGGCTGGCTCATCTGCAATGGAAACAGACGGCGATGCTCAGGGCCCGCCCCTCCTCTGGGGGACTCGTGGCCAGCCTGCATCGGCCAGCCCAAGCCTCTGCGGCTCTCAGAACTTAGGCCTCCCTCTGCCTCCGTGCTTGTCGCCTTTGTTCATCTCAGTCCCACCTGGTGTCTTGGGGGGATCCCCTTGCGGGATCCGGGCGAGGAACAGGCCAGCCAGGGCCCAGGGTGACGGGATAATCTGCAAGGCTGCCTGGAGAAGGGCGGCCCCACGCCCATTTTGCAGATGACTTAATTGAGGCTCTGAGTGGCAGAGCGAGTGGCCTAAGGTCACCATGCAGCCAGAGAGGATCTCTTGCACAAACTGTCTGTGGATGGGCATTAAGGGGTAAGTATGGGGTCACTCACAGATGGGATAAGATGATTAGATCCCACAGAGACAGGTGGATCGCCCCCCAACTCCAAACCCCCCAACTCCAAACAGCAGAGAGTTTTTTGTCACTCACCCCGAAACCACAGCCCACTTTCCTGAAAATCATTGTGAGGACCAGGAGCCACAGAAATGGTCGGACCCCTTCCCCAGAGAAAGCCTGCTGAGAGTCACGTGGGTCTTGGGGGCTGTTCCCCACCAGGGGGACAGCTGAGCGCCCCATGGGCCAAACCGCAGGGCTTGGGGACAGGAGACCAGAGTCTGTGAACGCTTTTAAAAGGCCAGGGCAGCCCCTGACTGGGAAATTCCCGTTTGCAGGCTCCCGGGGACCGCAAGGCGCGGGAGCTGCGGGCCTCCCGAGTGGCGCCCTGGGGGCGAGGCGGCCCGCCGTACCCGTGAACGAGACGTCGGCGTCGCTGTCCTGCCCCTCCTCCTGCACGCTGTCCTTGTCCGACTTGGGGCCGCCGCGGGCACGCTTCATGCTGCGGAAGTACTGGCCCCAGCGCTGCCGGCCCGCGTCCTTCTTGAGCCGCTTCTCCTTGGCGCGGCGGTTCTGGAACCACACCTGCGGCGGGGCGAGCGGCGGAGGGCGGGTGAGCGGGGCGCGGGGCGCGGGGCGCGGGGCGCGGGCGCGGGGCGCGGGCGCTGACCTGCACTACGCGCATGTCCAGGCCGGTCTCCGACGAGAGCTGCTCGCGCACGTGGCGCGCGGGCTTGGGCGACGTGTTGTAGGCGCTCTTCAGCGTCTCCAGCTGCTTGGCCGTGATGGTCGTGCGTGGCCGCTTGGCCGTGGCCTCGGCCTCTGCGCCGCGAGGGATGGAGTGAGGCTGGGCCCCTCCGCCCCCCACCCGGCCGGGGCGCGGGGACACCGCAGTAAAGGCGGAGGGGCGGCTGCCCTTTTCCCCTCCCGCCTCCGCCCGGGTTCCCCTTTGTTCCAAAGCTGTGGGTAGGGACGGATCTTCACGGTCAAGGGTTTGGGGCGAAAATCCACACATTTCAGACCGAACTCCCTGCGCCCCCGAGGGTGGGAGGAGGCCGCTAAGGCCCTGGAGCCAGGCTTCCTCGGAGCCGGTGGATCGTCCCTACCTGGGCGGGCCCCCACCCCTCCTGGCGGGGGGTGGGGAGGCGCTTAAGTTTGCGCCCCCGAGGGAGCTGCGGCGGGCGCTGGGCGTGGGGATCCCTCCGCGCCCCTAACAGACGGACCCCAGCCCCATTTTGCAGACGGGGAAAGGAGGTGGGTGGACCCTCCCACTGACCGCGCTGCTTGGCCGTCTCATAATCCGCCTTGCACACGAGTCGGCTGTCTTCCATGAGGTAGAACTCGTCCCCCGTGGCCAGCTGCCGCTTGCACACGACGCAGGCGAAACAGTGCAGGTGGTACACGAAGTCCTGGGCGCGGCGCACCACCTGCGTGGGCGGGATGCCCAGCTGGCACGCGGCGCACTTGGTTCCGAATCGCCTGCGGGACGCACAGGGCGCGGCTCAGCGCAGCGTCCGCGGCTCCTTCGCCGGGAGCGGGTTGGAGAACGAGGAGCGGGAAGCCGCCCAGGGCGGTTCAGGAGGGAGGCTCACCCGGGCCCTGCCCCTAGTCGTCGGCCCGGCAGCCCCCACAGAGCCGCACAGAATACGGAGAAGGGAACCAGAGGCCCCGGGGAAGAGCCTCGCCGCCCTGACCTCCGTGTCCCAGTGGGGAAGCGGGATCCATAGGGCAGTTCCGTTAGACCCCAGAGGCCTGTGCTCGAAAAGCACCCCCTCCCCAGCACTGAAGACAAAAACAAGACCGAAATCAAGACGGAGTAAATCCAATCAAGTTCTGTAAACTTGGGGTCGTCTTTTTGAATGACTGTGTTTCTATGATTTGCAAAATTAATTACTTGGAGAGAACTGAGTTGCCCAGCCAGCCAGGCCCAGTGGCCTGTGGAGATTCCCCACCCGCACCCTGGCCTGGGTAAGAGGAGGGGCCCGCCTTGCAGGAGCAGACTGCACCCCTGCCCTCCCGCACAAGCCCGCGGCCACGCTCACTTGAAGAAGTCGTCCTTGCAGTAGACGTTCTCCCCGCGGCTGAAGCAGCGCTCGGCCAGGGGCGCGTGGCAGTCAGTACACTTCAAACACTTGCTGTGCCAGTGGCGGTCCAGTGCCTTGAGGATGAAGCGGTCCAGGATGTGCTGGTCGCAGCCTGCACACAGCGGGATTTCTGCAGGCCAAGGAGCCACCGAGGTCAGAGGCACCGCACGGAGTGGGAGCACTGGAGTCCCCTTCCTAGTCCAGCCCGCGGGGCCCGGGGCTGCCACAGGAGACCCCCTTCCCCGCACACCCCCTTGGTTCCCGGGTGTAGGGAGTGCATGACAACCAGGTCTGCAGCCTGGCCCACAGTTAAAATTTGGGAAAACTGAAATAGGTTTAGAAATGTGCCCGTGAGCAGGAAGGGGCCCCGGCCATTCCATTCGGCCAGATACCATCAACTGCAAAATGTTCCCAGCGACCACCAAGGGTGCACATTGAGCTCAAATGAAAACCCCACCACAGGAGCTGTCTAGCAGGAGGTAAGGTGCTCGTGGTCCCGGGGTGCGTACCGCCCAATCCCCATCGCTATTTTGTGCAATTAAGTATCCTTGCAGCTGGAGGTCCCTTGTTGAAGCCTGGCCACCCAACCCTGCTCAGGCACCAAGGTAGAAACTGGTGTCCTCCCCATCTCTGGGAGCCCTCGCAGGTCCTTGTACACGGACTGGACAACTGGATCGCTGTCACCATACTCAAGTGTCGGTGCCTGACATGAGTTACTTGACACTCGGCTCTGCCACCGTGTGACTGCAGGCCTCTGGGGAAACAAGGCTGGGGAAACTCGAGGGGTGGTCTGCGGGAGCCACTGGCCCATGTGGGGCTTTGCAGGGTGCTCACAGGGTGAACCTCCTTGTTGGTTTAGAAAAGTCTTCTGGAGAGGAAAGAACCAGCAGCAGGAGCTGGAGCCTGCGCAGACGTTGCACCCACCTGGCCATGCTCCCCTCCCCGGCCAGAGACCCCTCCGGCTCCAGGTCAGCCGGCAGTGGGTGGGAGGACCAGAGAAGGGCCTCCCTGCGTCCCAGGCTGAAAGCACCCTGATCGACTGACCTCCCTCGCCCAGCAGCAGGAAACTCGCTGAGGATGCGGTCCCGCATCGGACCAAACTGCGGCCCCAGCGCCAGTGGAGCGTGGGGAGGTGCCCTGCTCCGGGGGTTGGGGTGGGCGGGGGGCCCTCGCTGGCGGCGCCGGCAGAAGGGCGAGCGCAGCCGGCCTAGATCTGGTGGCTAGACAGGCCAGCGAGCGCGGATTCAGCACCGTGGCCGGGACAGCGCCGGGCCGAGCTGCCCTTCGCCCCGCGTCCGGCAAAAGCTGCTCCCACTGGGCCCCTGTTGCTCCCCGACGCGCCCTGCGACCCGGGCCTTACGCTGCATGGTGGCTCCAGCCTCGGCGGGGTCTCCTACCCTCAGCAATGGTAGGGCGCAGTGGAGCCTCGCGCCCGCCCGCCCGCTCAGGGCCAGCTCTCCTGAGCGATCGCGTTGGGAGTGTGCCTCCCCTCTCTCCCTCTCCCTCCACCTCCCACCCCTTTCTCCCAGCCCCTGCGGCCAACCCCTCCCAGGAACCGTTGGATAAATAAATAAATAAATAAATAAGTAGGGGACGAAAGAGACCCCACAGCTGGATGTAAGCTCTTTCCCACCTGCTGGGTCCCTGACACTCCCCACGCGGCCAGGCCCGCCTCTGTCTCCATCCTGTGGTCCCGCAGGCGACGAAGCCTGGGAGAAGGACTGGCGATTGCCCTTCTCCAGAGCCAAAGCGTGGGAGGGAGCCGCGGGGGCAGGACTGGTGCGGCAGGAGCTGGGGTCTTTCCTCCGGAAGGGTCCTGAGGACCAGCCTGGGAGCCGCTGATGAGCAGGTCCGTGTGGGGCAGACAAGGAGACCTCAACTAGGGACATCTGCCAGCGGGCTCCAGCTACACACGCCGGCCCTGCCTCTGACTCTCTTCCCCCGAAAGTGTGGACTATCTGGGTGCCGTCAGCCCTGTCGGGCATCTTCTTGTCCAGTGGTCACCGGCTCGCACGGTTGCTCTCCACATGCTCTCCGGATAAGGGAGAGGCTTTCCTAAATCGGTCCTGGGACCCCAAGTACTCTCTGGCCTGGGCTGTTGGGCGCTGCGACCGCGCAACCGACAGCACGGCTCCAGGGGCCCCGACGCGCTAACTCGCTACTGAGGCGCCCGGTTGGGGACGTGCTGGGGCCCTTGCCTCCACGCCCGCCCGGGTCCCCCGTCTCCCGCCCTCTGTGTGGCCAAGCCCGGAAAGGAGCGAGGACCTCCGGGTCTCCCCGTGCAGCCGCTCAAGCCCGGGCACCCACCTCGGCGCAGGTCCTCCCTCCGCGCCAGAAGCGCCAGCAGCAGGTCGCCGCCCGCCGACTCGCGGCCCGGGCCCAGCTCCCCGCGCGCCTCCATGGGTCCCGTCGCCTGGCGCCGCGGCTCTCCGGCCCCGAACTTTCCCGCGGCCCGGGGAGGCCACGGCTTCCGGGGCCCCAGGCCGGTGTCCGAGCTATTCCCCGCGCTGCTGGGCGCTGCGCCCGCGGGCCGCCCTGGGGCCCGGAGCCTCAGGCCGCGCGGAGGGCGGAGCGGCGGGAGGCGGGGCCGCGGCGCGGGGCGGGGCCGGGGGTCGCTGAGACGCGCCGCGGGCGTCCGCTGGCTACGCGCGTCTTTGCGAGGGGACTCGGGGTGCCCAGACGCCACCCGAGTAGCCGGCCCGAGGAGGGCGGGGACAGTCAGGGGAGGAGCCGGGCCAGGGCTGCCCGCGGGAGCTCACCCGGGCCCCGAAGCTTCCTGCCCCGCGCTGCGGGCCGCGGGCGGAGGCCTGGGCTCCAGGCGTGCTCGAGTGCGGGAAGGCTGAGGGTCCCGGGAGGACCGTTCGGGAGGGAGCCGCGTCCCACCGCCGCTTGAGAGCCGGGTCTGGGAGGCTTGGTGACAACGTCTGGTCCGCAAGAACGCGACCCGGGACCCAGAGAGGGTGAGTGTGGCGCCCAAAGGCTCAAAGCAAAGCCACCAGGAGCCAGACACGACCTTAGACCTCCCAGCTGTGACCAGCTTCTGGGCCCCACCCTGGGAACTGCCACCAGAATGGGCACAGAGAGGGGCGATTCTCGGCAGGTACACCCGGTGTCCTCCGCCCAGTCATTGGCCAGGACTCAGGTCAGGAAGGACAGAGCTGGGGGAGTTGGAGGTCCGTCCTCACTTCCCTCCACACACCAGCTTGCACAGAAGGCAGTCCCACACCTGATCTTCCGGCATTTTGTCCCCAATCCAAAGGGTAAGCCTGTAGGAACCCACCCATGCTTGTATAGAGAGAGATGCACCCCCCACCCAGGGCAGCTGCTCCTGCCCAGAGGACACCTCGTCCCCAATAATTAGGAAACAGCAGTGTGGGGGTCATTGCAGCATGGGGCATGGTGAGGGCAGGGGCCTCAGGCAGTGATGGGGGTGAGCAGATTTCTGCCAGCCTCCCCATCTCTCCACCTGGGAGAGTCCCGTGGTATAGGACAGTCTTCGCCCTGCTCCGTATCCTGGCCTCCGGTCACCTCGTCTGTGCGTTTTACTAAGGAGGCAAGCCTGGAAGGATGTGGGCAGGAAAAGCACAGTGCCCTCCCAGATCCCCAGGGTCAGCCCCACGGATCTGAGCAAAGGCTCATACCACCAGCACTGCACACTTCCCTGTGCAAGACACTGTTACCAGAGGACAGGGCCAGGGTGCACAAGCCGGTGAGCCGGGTGCTGGGCGCACTGGGATGTTGGCCGTGGAGTGTCAGCTGCTGCAGAGCCCTGCCTAGAGGGACCATGTGTGGTTTGAGGGGGGAAGGGGCAGGTGGGTAGCGGGTCCAGTAGGCGGCCACCCCACATGCTCTGCATCTGGTTGGCCTGCCAACAATGCCTCCATTATTTTCCAACGTCCATGGTGATCGAGTGGTCCTTGGGAGGGCAATTTAGGTGGGAGACCCAGCCCAGGGGTCCCAGTTCTGCACTGTGGGGCAGTGTGGGAGAGCTGAGGGGTGTGGGGTCTCTGGAGGAAACTGATGTCTCCACTCTGCCCTATCCCTTCCCCTCAGCAGTTCCTGCAAGGCCCCTTCTGTTCTCAGGGTCCTCCACAACAGCCCATGGCCTCTGGAGCCACCGCAGCGAACTCCAGACCCTCTGCCCACGGGATCTGCCAGACTTGCATCCCCTCGCCACTGTTCCCATCTCTCATGGGTGCTGCCTCCCCCCCCACACACCGTGATTTCTCCAGAATTTCTTCTTCTCTGCTGTGTCTGGGTCCCTTTCTCCCCACCATCCCTCTGCCACTCTGCTGTCCTAGTCATTTCTCCCATTGGGGTCATCTTGCCTGGGCTGGAGGCCGAGGGGCTCGCAGGGGCCCTTACCCCGAGTCCTACCAAAGCTGCAGGCAGCAGCGGCCATGGAGGCCTGTTGCCGATCTCGGTCTCCACTGAGCTCGGTTTCTAGCAGCATGACGAATGCCAGGCCGGAGACGGGAGTCCAAGTGGTCCAGGCTGCCCCTCTCCTTCCTCCTCTGCGACCCTGGGAGGGCTCAGAACTCCCCAAGGCCCAGATGACTCGGGACCGCGACCCGATGGGCGCAGCTCGGGCAGCGGGAGCCTCGGGCCTGGGCGCTGTCCACGGTGCTGAATGAGCAGACCAGCCGCCCACCTCCCCAGGGCCCCGTCCCCCACTCCTCCCCACCTTCCCTGACCACGCCCACCACTCTGTTCCCCTAGCTCCCCTCCCCACCATCCCACCTCCCTAAGTCTGCCGTCGCTGTGCCTGCCTCCCCCTGCCCCGCCCACCTCCCCATCTCCCAAGGCCCCTTGTCCCCCACCCCCTCTCCGCCTCCACCAAACCCTGCCAGCCACTCTGTTCCCCCATCCTGCTTCCCCACCACCCTACCTCCCTAGGTCTGCAATCCCCTCACCTGCCTCCCCCAGCAAACCCACCACTGCCTGCCTTCCTCCCAGCTCCCTCCTCACTTTCCCCACCTCCCTTGGTTTCCAGTCTCTCCACCAAGCACCTGCCAGATTCCCCCTACCGACTTCCCCTTCTTAGGCCCTTGTCCGTACCCTCCCACCCCCAGCCCCTCAGCCAGCCTCACCCCACCTTTCCTCCCATCGCCAGGGGCAGCCAGTTCTGCCCAGAGCCTTGGTCCGGGCTTGGGAATTGGAAGCAAGTGGGGGGGGGGGGCTCCACCTTGCCCTACAGGTCAGTGTCCAGGACTCTGCCGCTTCAGCCCCACCGGCCTCCAGCCCCAGCCCCCATGCCTCTCTGGCTCTAGGTGTGGCCCGGCACACAAGGCTGCTGCTGTCCTGAGGGACCTGTTGCCCATACAACCTTCCCCAGGTCTGCAGCAGCTCACCCTGTGCCCACAGGGCAGCTGAGGAGGGGCACAGGGGCGCCCCCAGCAGGAACCGCTCAGGACACAAGAGCTGGGAGGGGTTACCAGACGGCGAACCCTTGCCAACACAGCACCACACAGACCCGGAATGGCAGAATGGTCTGTGCCCTGCCTGGAGGGCACACAGGGGCTCCCTCTCTGAGGGAAGGGGTTACCTATAGCTAGCACACAGCCTGGCTCGGAAGGTGGATCCACGGGAATCACCTCCAGCAGGTCCCTCAGAAGCCACCATGCCCAGAGTGCCCGCCCCCCGCCCCGCCCCGCCCCCAGCAAAACAAAACAAAACAAAGGTAGAAGCAGATGGAATCCATAGTTCAGAACCCGAGGCAGCAAACAGGTGTTGGGGGTAAAGCCCTGGCTAGAGGCCGTGCTGGGGCGTGCAGGTGGGGCGTCAGTGGGGCGGCCGAGGAGAGCCGTGTCCAGCACTGGCTGGGCCGGGGCTCCAGTCACCAGGGCGCCCCTGGTGCATCATGAAGTCACAGGACTCCCACGTATCCATCCCTGCTGCGTCCCATCGATCTACCGTGTGACATGCGTGAAGGCTGTGGTCCTGTGGCTGGTCCCCAACTACATCAGCCCTGAGAAGATAATCTATAATTGATCTTCCATCTTTCACTTTCCACCCAAGTCCTGGGCTGTCTTCCGAAACCAGAGGCTCAATACAAGGAACCCCAGGGTTTCAGACGCCCAGTCCGCAAACTCCGGAAGGGAAGGAGGGGTCCGTTCTGTGCCCCCACCTATCCCCGCCAGAACAAGCTCACATTTTCGAAAGAATTACAGTCCTTCCAAACGTCAGATTTATTTTAAAATGTGCACATTATAGTTCACTTAAATACAAAATGTTTATTTTTCTTACAGGTAAGAAATTTCAGATGTTGCCACATCAATTAGCTTCTTTTTAATCAAAATCCTTCCATCAAAAATAAATACACATTTAAATTACCGAACTATTCTATTCATTAATCTAAATGCTTACAACTTTAGAAAATAGACCTTAAACCTTGCCCAAAGTTAATGTCCAATTCCTAGCAGGCCACGTGAGGCATGCGGCCACGTCCACACCCACACACCAGACACATGTCCCATGGCCGCCTTGGCACACCACCTGCCCCCGACTGCTCAGGGTCTGGGGGAAACCCGGCCCCTCAGGGAGACGCACACTTGTCCCTCAAATAACGGAGACCTCCAACTGCAACGTTACCACGAACCCCGAGAGGCCATCCCTGGCTTTTGTGGCGGTCGTGGCCTTGGCGTCTTGCACCTTCATCCCAGACCACGCCGCGTGCGGAGATGTACTTTGGGGAGGAAACACACTGGACGTGAACCAGAAGGTAGTTTCATTTGTGGTGCTGAGCACCCCCCTGTGGATTCTGTGGGTGGATCCGGCCATTTTCCAGGTTCCAGGTCTTCAGTAACCGGGGGTACAGCCACCGCCGGAGCATACGAGGTGAGCACACGGGCTTCCAGGGGCGACGCACAGCCCGACGGGAAGAAACCTCTGGAGAAGCCACGGAAGCCAAGCAGCTGAGGAAGCTGCAGACGGAGCCCCATCCCCCGTCCCTCATCTGTATGTCCCTGTCCCCTGCCCCATCCCACACCCCGCCCCCAGTCCCCTGCCCTCATCCCCCCTTTCCCTTTTCCCTACCACATCCCTATCCGGTTCCCCTGTCCCCCCACCCTGTCCTCACCCCATCCCTCATTCCCTGTGCTCTAGTCCCCCATTCTCTGTCCTCCATCCTGTCCTGCCCCCATCCCATGCCCATCCCATTCCATCCCTCACCCCCGTCCCCTGCCACCCCATCCCCCAGCCAGTCCCTGTCCCCCATCCCATCCCCCGTCCCCCTGCAGGAACTCAAGCTCCTGACAGCTCGCCTGCTGCCCCCCCAAGACACACCCCTGGTCAGTCCCTGGTCAGCAGGCGTTAGTTCGGGATCACAGCGGGTGCTGGGCGAAGTGGAGAAGACGGTCGTACCGTCCTAGTGACAGGAGTGGACGGACGCAGCTATACTTGTGGACAAAGCGACGTCATAAAGCATCTCCACGAAAAGGCAGCGCCTGCTCATTTTGTCTGTTTACATCTCCAGGAGCAAATTCACCTCTAAGTGATTTGGGTTTTACACACAGTGTGTGAAAAATCATTAAATGGTAAAAAATCAATCACCAAAGCCTGGGGGACTGGGGTCCTGGGCCAGGACCTTTTGTAAAACAGCTTCTGGGAAATGAGATTTGGGGTTCAGCCTTAAAGGTTCTGACGATCGTACACACGTCACCCCCGCCAGGACGAGCTCACCGGGCGCTGCAGCTCCGCGGGGCCCAGGCTGGCCATGTGCAATCGCCCGCCAGCCTCCCGGCGCACAAGGGCTCGGCTGCTCTCGGAATCCCCAGCCAGGCTTGCGGAAGGTGACGTGTGTCTAGAAACTTGGGACGAAGGCAGCTGGGAAAATCTGTCTGTTTGGCCTGGACTCCCCCTTTTCTTAGACCGAGGAGAGTGAAAATACAGAAACATTTTTGCTGTCAGCCTTGTAGAGGCGTCCAGGGAGCACGCCAGGAGGGCACGCGGGCCCACGGCAAACGCCAACGTGCCCACCACTGGAAGTAAAACCAGGTCTCGCTGTTAATAAAATCCCTGATCTCCTATGAAAGCTGCAGGTGGCCTGGTGGGGCTGTTTCCCCAAAGGCGCTTCTGTGGTCCCGCTCAGTTCCTACACGGACGGCCGGTGATGTCTGACCTTCCACCGCTTGGACCGCACTCGGAAAAAAAAGTACATCACCATCAGGAACAAGGAAGAGGCCACGTAGAGCACGACGCAGAGGCTCATGTCCAGGCCAGAGAAGCCCATCCCCAGGAAGGGCACAGCCACCTCCGCCTCCCTGCGGCCCTCAGCTCCGCGCGCGCTCCGCAGTCTCCCGTCCAGGCCGAGCTGCGAGCCGTCCGACAGGCGGGGTCTGGGAGGCAGCACGCTGGGTGGACGGAGACTCTCGGTGCGCTGGTCTCTCCGAGGCTTCCCTGAGGAGGCGAGGCCTTTCTCCTGCTCCCCGCCCTGGTGTGGGCCGCGTCCTTCGCTGGTGTCCCCCAGGTCTGCCGCATACGTGTCCACGAGATTGTCACCGCTGTAGTGCTGCTTCAAGAACAGAAGCACCTGGCCCTTGTTCCAGCTGTGCACGCCCTTGATCTCCTCGTGGCAGGCTGGGCAGAGATCCGGGGTGGGCCACGGAACCTTTGGAAACTTGGGGTCCTCACTTAGATGGCCTGGGACGGGGAGGGAGAGCAACGGTGAAGGGATCTCTGGTGACCCAACTGCTCGATGTCCCGCAGACGCCTCCCCTGTCCACCCACCTGCACCGTGACCTCCCAGTGCTCCTGGCCTCACACCCATCACTCCTGCACAGATGCCCGTCCCCCAAACCCCCCACACAAATGGCGTTTCCCCCCCGGAACCTCTGGCAGGGCCTCGTGGCCACAGCAAGGGAAGGGTCCTCGCTTGGACGGTGCCATCCACCTGGCCAGACCCCGCTCCCGCCTGCAGCTACTCTGCCTCCCCGTGACCCCGAGGCCCCTGCTCATGCCCCGTCTCTGCTTGTCCTCTCCCCTCTTAAGGTGCATCTGAGGTCCACGGCCACACAGACCCCCGGAGTCCCTGCCCCTGGACACAGGCTGCCCAGACCATTCCACAGCACTTCAGGCACGTGTGGGCCCTCCCAGACCCCCAAATCCCGTCAGGACCTCTAAACCCATCCTGGGAGCGAGACCTGCTGTGGGAACCCGCGCAAAGCCGGCCGCCCGTCCTGCTCCCAGGGGCGGCAACACAGCACTGTCCTGCACCCGCTGACCACACCGCGCGGGGTCGACTCGGCCGGCAGGACCGCTCCTCGCAGGAACCGTGACCCCCAGCACTCCGACGGCTGGGTGCACGCCAACTCAGACGCAGAGCGCCCCAGGTTTAAAGTCACGCTACGTCCTGCTCCACATCCGCTCACAAGGCGGTTCAGCCACGGTCCGTCCACGGAGGCCACGGCTGAGACTCCTCCTGTCCTCGGTGAGTGCGTTCCCTCCTCCGGCTGATGGAGCCCACGGAGCAGCAGCCTGACCTCACTTCCCTTCCCCCTTCCCTTCCGTCTGGGTGAGCGACACCCTGCCGGACCCTGCAGCTCTGGCTCCCGGCCACGCAGATATGAGGACCACGAGGTGCGCCACACTGTGCCCCTCGGCTCCCAGAGTCCCCTGACCCAACGTGGGGTGCCCTGCCACCCCAAAAGTGCTTCCGTGAGTAGGCGTGGACAAAATCACATCTACTGGGTATGACCCAATGGAGACGCTCTCCTCCCGCCTGTGAGCACAGAGCCGGGAGGCAGGGGCCGGCGCCACAGGCCCAGGCATCACCCACCAGGGTCTGCGCCGGGCATGAGGCAGAGGCGCCCACGAGGAGACCACGGAGAAGCTGCCGGGGCCTGGTGTCACACGCCACACACACAGTGAGGCCCAGGGCCGGTCTCTGAGGCCTCCAAGGAGTCTGGGCCTCCATGCAGAGGCCAGAAGTGGGCCTGGGGGGACATAGGGGGACGCAGAATTGAAGCAGGGACACGACGACTTGGGCTGCGGAAAGCCCCTTTCTGCTGCAGCGCAAGCACATGGGGGGCACACGGGGCTCCTGGACTGGGGCTGCCCGGGACAACTCCCCCGGGCTGGAGTGCGGTGGGGGCAGGGGGGCCGCACACCCGGAGGTGGAGGGTCCCAGAACTAGAGCCGCGGTGGAAGCGTACAGCCGTGGATGGACCCCCGGCAAGCGATGGTTTCACGGCCTTGCGGGCTGAGCCACGGCAGCTCTGAGAGCAAAGAAAAACCAATTCTCTTTAGTGCTTCGGTCGTAGCGTTTCCTGACAGTGGATTAAATAAAAACCAATAATTTAGTGGTTTTTTCTACTCATCTCTATTAAGACTTATCCGTCAGCAGAATTATTTTTAAGCCTAATTTCAATCTGCCGGTGATTTGGGGGCAGAGTCTGAATTAACCGGGAGGCGACACACGTGCCGCATTCACACAAGCCGCCTTGGCGGTGTGCTTCGCTGAGAGCAGACCGCGGCGCGGCCAACGGCTTTCTGGACAGCGGTTCGACCCTCTGCCGCCCACTGTCCGCGGGGCCTGCCATGCTCCCCGAGGGGGAAGAGTGGGGAAAGGTGGGGACGCCGGCGGCCTGGGGTGGCTGCGTTCTCGGCTGTCCTCCGGGAAGCCACCCGTCTACACAGCCTCGCTCTGACGGCCGTCTGTGTACACGGCCTCACCCCCACTGCGGCGGCCCCTCTGGCCCCGGGCCTGGCCGCCCCAGGGTAGCTTCTGCTCACCTGCCAGACGACTGTTGACTAGGTTGTGAGTCTCCCACAGCCAGAGAATCGCTCCGTCTGGGGTTTTCACCGTGCCCACGGACTCCTCAGCCACCGCCTCGAAGTGCTCGCTGCACGCCTTACAGCCGAAGAAGGTGCGCACGTACCTCCGGATGGTCTGCAGCACGGCCTGGGGGTCATCCTCCAGACCTGCGGGGGGTAGGGGCGGGGGACAGAGAGCGTCGGCACTACAGGAGTGTGTCCACAGGCCCCAGGGCTCGGGCTGGCGTCAGGAGCCAGGAACGGGCCCCGTGCCTGCCCCAGGGCCTGTGGGACGGCCCTGCTTGTCTGTGCGGGAAGGACACAGGGAGAAAGCAGCACCTCCTGGACGCCTGCCACGTCCAGAAGGGGTGGCTCGTGTCCCCTGGAGAGCAGATCCATAGCCCGTGTCCAGCGCAGCACACGCTCCAGGGCATGTACCACAGCTGGGAAAACCAGCTTGAGGCTGCGACGTACGAGGGCTCCCTCCAGGTCACGAGAGGGCAGCAGGATGCGAGGACCTGTCCCCTCTCAAGAGGCTGACCCTGTCCACGAGCGGCAATGCCACATGGACTGTGTGCCCCAGGTGTGGGCGCAGGTGCCGCTGGGACACGGTGTGTAAAGACACTGTGAACTCGGAACATGACCGTCCGAGGACACAGCCCCCAACGGCAGAGGGAAGCAGCCACAGTCTCACTAAAATGAGGACCCCTGAGAACAGCAAACAGAGAGGCAGTCACGGGGCTGGCGCCGGCGGCTCCCTTCAGACAGCTAATGCGGGGGACTGAGCCAGTGAGCGAGATGCCGTGAGATTAAAGCAGATTAAATGTCAGCATTAAAAGAAACGCAGGAAAATAATTGGGGGGAAAAAAAAGATGTGCTTTTGAGACAGAATCCATCTTAATCGAGAGCAAGCCCTCCTGTGATCCCCTCCTTCCCCACTGTGTGTGGTTCTGCTCACGGAGGGCCAGCACCCACCCCCGTCGTGGACCCGGGCAGGCCTCCCCAGGAGCAGCAGAAGCCCCGGCCGAGCGGATGGCCACCGTCTCCTCAGCTCGGCGCGTCTCCGAGGGCGGCGTGGGCCTGTGTGCACGCGGTGAGGACACGTTGCCAGCCGGCCCTCCCGAGGCTCGGCTCCCAGCCCTCCTCTCCCCGCCACCAGCTGCCACGCGTCCCCGGGTAATCCTCCTCTTGTCGCCCCAGCAAACCACTGCGGCCCGGATGCCCTAATCTTCAGAGAGGACAAGAGCCATAAAGCCCTACCTGTGGGGGATTAGAGGACGCGGCGGTTTAGTCGATGGGGTTTAAACACGCACTAAGGAGAGGAAAAACCTTCCAAGACCTAATCCGGCCGTGTCCATCTGACCCAGTTCTCTGGGCACGAGCTGCGCTCCTTGATGTGGCTCCAGCCTGCATCCCGGAGAGCTTCCCGACGGCGTGCCCTGCTGCTGGGCTGCCATCCTGCCCGGCGCTGTGAGCTCCCGCAGAGCGGAGAGTGCCCCCTGCCAGGTCCCCAGGACATGGCCGTCCGCATCACCGCAAGGACAGCCGGGCTGCTGACGGTTCCCACACACAGCCCGTCCCCTGTAGCGACTTCACGGACTCCCCAGCACCGGGGAGCCGCTCTACCCCACCACGGACCCGGGTTGGGTGAGGCCCGTGCGAGCAACGGGCCGTGCCACAAGACGCCCTGTACCGTCCAGCCCAGCCCCAAGGTCCTTCCCAAGCCCCGGGCCGTGGGGAGCTGGGGTGACCCGCACGGATTCCTGAGCACATAGAGCTACGGTTTTCTCAAGCCCCAGCGTTTGGTCCTCTTCCTTCTGGAGCAGGACGTACCGCACGCTTCAGTCTTTCTGGACAGACATCGGGGAGGGAGGGAGCCCCCACCTTCACTCGGCAGAGCAGCGTCCGCAGTTGCCCGGTCCAAGCGCAGACTGGAGGCAGGTGGTCGGGCACCTGGGGGCTCCGTCGGCAAAGCGTCTGCCTTCGGCTCAGGTCATGACCCCAGGGTCCTGGGATCGAGCCCCATGGCCACGGCTGGGCTCCCTGCTCAGCGGGGAGCCTGCTTCTCCCTCTCCCACTCCCCGGCTTGTGTGTGCCGCCCCCCGGGTCAAGTACGTATGTAGAATCTTTAGGAGAATAAACAATAAATGAAAGGTGATGCGCCTTTAGCGGCCAGAGGCCAGCGGCCAGCTTCACAGGGGAAGCGCGCACGGCGGAGCCCGGAGCAGGAAAGCTCCTGCACGTCTTCGCTGCTGCGCGGGCCACAAGTGCCAACAGCTCCGCTTTAGTGACCACCCGGACGAACGCTATTAACACCGACCTAACCTCTTGTGGCTTTTAACCTCTCCGCGTGGGCGGCCTCTGCGACGGCCCAGGGCTGCAGCTCCCACACGCTCGGTGGGCCCGGCCCTCCCCGGGCAGGCCGGACTGGCTGCGCACTGCTAACCGGGCCCACAGCAGAAGTGACCGGCTGCGCACCGAGTACACGCCGACTGGCCTGCAGAGCCGGCTGCCATGTGGCAAGGAACTGGGAGCGCTGCCGGCCGACCGCCAGCAAGGCCCCGAGTCCTGCCACCGCCCCACGAGCAAGCAGGGGAGGGGCTCCACCCAGGGCAGACTCCTGATGACACCCCGGTGCCAGCTGACACTGGGCCCGCAGGTTCGCCAGACGCCAGCAGCCGGGGGCCCAGGCCCAGCGCCATCGGAGTCCCTGGCCCACAGACACTCCCGCAGAAAGCTAAGCTGCTGGTTTGTTTCGCGGCCACACGCACCAAGCAGACAAGTCTGAACGTGCTTCACTCGGTCATGTTTTTGCGAGAAAGGAGTTCCTGGCCGGTGTGCCCTCATTCTGTGACGCTGTCCCCACAGGTCAGCCGCGCACAGGCTCGTGAGTTCTGGAGGACCCGGCGCCCGCGCAGGCAAGACGCTCCCCTCCACGCTCCTTAGCCTGCGTCCCCCCCCCCGGCCGGGCAGCCCTGGGGACATGTTCCCTCACACACCGTTGCTCACGACCCCAAAAGGCCCAGCACGGCGAACGTGGCAGGTAGGCTTGGCGTGCCCTGGGCCCGCGCGGGGACAGCCCGTACCTGTGCCATCCAGCGCCTCTGGGCGGGCCCCGGCTTCGACAGTCAGAGTGTGGAACAACTGCCAGAGAGAGCACGTGTAGCCCCTGAGCTCCGGCCGGCTTCCTTGACATCCAACCCACGTTACGTGATTAGTAAGGAAGATTCCAGAGATCTGGGGGCAGGGAGAGAATGAGATAACTGAAGTATTAAAGCCGTTGGCGAGCGTCCTCCGGCTTGAGCGGGCGCTGGTTGCGCCTGGTGTTGATGCGCCAGAATCGTGTCAACCGCACGTCTCCTTACGCGTGTATTTAACTTCAACACGAACAAGCGAGACAGCAGAACCTCTATTCCACCAACGGGGTTCGCAAACTAGGGGGCGGAGCCTGTGCCTTTCCTTCCCCCACAGGGACGGGCAGGTTCGTGGTATCGGATCAACGCAGCTTCAGGAAAGCGTCAAGGGCTCCCGGCCTCGTGCGTTAGAGCCACTTAACCCAGCCCCACCACCCACTGGGGCAGGGTGAGCGGAAACCACCCAGCGGCCCAGCGGTTCTCAGCCAGAGCAGGTGTGGCCCACGGCGGCATCGGTGGAGCGCCGAGACCCTAACAGCCCAGGGCCCACGTGCCCGCAGCCAAGTAGGGGCTTCTCATGCCAAGTCCACAGCCCCGGCCTGCGTCTCCCGGCAGGCCGGCTGGCACAGGGCTTGTCCACGGGGCCTGAAGCACGTGGCTCCCACGGGGACATGCATGCAGACAGACCCTGTAGCCGAGGAGCCTGTGGGGGCCTCCAGGTTAGGGGGAGGCCAGGGGGAGGTCAAGGCCGGCATCCAGCACGTCTCTGTGCTGCCGGACAGCGCGGCGCCTGTGAGCACCCGACGCGTGGCTCGCGCGGGCTTGCATCCTGCCCCGGGTCGCATCCTGACTGGAAGGCTTCCGAGAGCTGGGGTAGGAGGGAGAAGAACTGGCCCGGGGGCGCTCCGGTGGGGCCTCCCTGAGTCTCACTGAGCCCAGGATTTTATCAGCCTCTTGCATGTAAGACTGAGGCGTTTACCACAAATACAAGTAACACAATAGGCCGAGCACCCACTGTCCGCTGTGTCACAGCACGCCTCCCGTGGCCTCCCTCCATGTCAAAGCACGCCTCCCGTGGCCTCGGCCGACCACGCCACAGGCAGAGGTGGCGTGCGCAAAGCGCGTCCCAGGAACAGGGACAGTGGGACCTGTGAGGCACAGCTGGGGGGACGTGGCCGGGCCCCTGGGCAGGGAGGGAGAGCAGGAGGACGTGGACAGGCGGGGCGTGGGCTCACCCGCATCTTGTTGTTGACCAGGTCGAGGACAGCGTTGTAGGGGATCCTGTCCAGGGGAAGGCTGGCTAACCACTCCTGCAGCGTCTCCAGCAGCTTCCTGACTGGCGCCCGGCCGGGGAACAGCTGTGAAAGGAAGGACCGTACTTAAAAGACGGTTCGGGGAAGACGCCGCCCATGGCACAGCCGTCCCTGGGGACCTAGGCCAGGTCGGGTCTGCCGGACACAGACCCACCAGTCTGCTGGGAGAGGTCCCAGGGCTCTCCCCTAGTACTGGGGTGGGGTGGGGGGGTCTGTCCGGAGCACAGAGTAGGGGGACGGAGGAGCCGCAGGCGGGTCCCCGGCTCTCATAGCCGCCTGAGCCTCGCCCACCAGCTCGGAGCCCCAGCTGGCAACTGCTTCACGGTGACAGACGACATGGCCACAACCTGCCTCTTGCATCATGTGGCGGAGGGCCCTGCGGCCCTTTCTGGAAGCACCACGACTGACTTATCCGGCCCCGAGCTAACACACGCAGGGCCGCTGCGGCACTCCGTGCTCCCTCCGCCTGCCCCCCTGCCGTCTGACTGCAGAACCACGTGGAAGAGGCGCATCCCACAGGGGCTCTCATCCCAGAGGGTTCGCTGTGCTGGTTAACGAAGTGTCTGTGCCGGCCACGCAGCCGCGGCCCCTCGCGCTCAGAGCAGCACCGGCTCCGCAACCGGCGGGCGCAGCCCTTCCCCGAGCACCTGACACGCCGTCCAGAGCTCAGAGACGGCGAGGCCCCCTGCCCCGGGGCCAGCACAGCTCACGGCTGCAGAACCATTTCCTCCGCGCGTTGCAATGTGCTGCTAGCGACACGCCGGCCTCTAGCTTCCAGGTCCAGCCAAGCTTCAGAAAGAAAAACGGATGGTCACCCCGACCACAGAGCTGCACGCCTGAGGCAGAGGACGAGGCGGCAGAGGAGAGAGGACCGCGGGGCTCTGGGCCGGGACCGGTACCGTGGGCCACACACCTGCCTATACAACCTTTCTTCACTGGAACACGTCATGGGACTCACTACTCCTGGGGCTGTGAGTCTGGCCTCCTTCCTTCTCTTTCCGAAGTCATGGGACACAAGTGTGCGACACACCGTGGAAGTGCTGAAGGGGAATTACTGTACCAAGCCCCTTACCTGCCGCGAGAGAAGCCCCTTATCTATTTTTAAATCATCACCATGCCCAGTGTGGGGCCTGAATCCCCAACCCCGAAATCCAGAGCTGCAGAGCCATCGACAGAGCCAGCCGGGTGCCCCGAGGGAAATCCTTCCGAGCAAAGCTTCCCTCTTAGAGACAACAGGCATGACTGTGATGCCAGACACGGGGCAGAGGGCTCTGTCCTCAGGCCACTGTGTCCGAGGCCTTCCCCGACGTGAGAGCGCAGAGGGGCCCCAGGCACTCCTTGGGGAAGAGGGATGACCTCCTGCTTCCCGCTGCTCTGGCCCAAGGAGAACAGGCCTTGGGTTCTTGGCCCGGGAGCTAAGGGCTCCCGGCAGAAAGGTGACCCGACAGCCACAGCTCCCGACTGACGCCAAGCCGCCCACGCACCCTCTCCACTCCGCCCACCAGTGAAGGTGGGGTGCTGCCACCCCCGCACCCGGCCCACTGGACACACCCTGCACAGGCAGGGCTGCTGGGCGGCCTCCTCCTGCCCTCTGCCTGCCGAGCTTCCCTGCCCACACGTCCCCAGCCCCGCCCTGACACCTCGTCTGGTCACCGGCAAGCAGCGACCTGGCCTCCGCCACATGGCCGGGGCTCAGAACTGCCGAGTGCTGAGCAGGGGCAGAGCCAGCGCAGGCCCGTGCCACTGGAGACAGAGCAGTCCTCCAACGGAGGCCGGCTGCGCTCCCCGCCACGCCCCCGGGTGCCCTCCTGAGCCCCCCCGCGGCCCAGGTGAGACGCAGCGCACCCTGGCGAGGACGGCGACGAAGTCCTTGAGTGTCCGCAGCTCGGCCCCCGCGAGAGACTTGTGGGCGGCCAGCTCTACCCTCAGGAGGTGGTGCAGCCCCGACTCCAGGTCCGCCGTGTAGAGCTTCCCCCTGAGAGCAAACACCGCAAGGCCTGTGAGCCCCTTCGTCGCCTGAGCGCGCCCTCCCCCTGCGCCCGCCCCAAGGGACCCCCGCGCCCCCGCAGCGGCAGGGGTGAGTGAGTGAAGCCCACGGCTCAGGGCTGCGCGGGCACCCGTGCACGCAGCCTCGCCCGGGCCAGCTCAGGCCTGAGGGTACCTGCCTGTCAAAATCTCTCCAAACCACGACTTCGGGATTCTCTTCCTTGCTGGGTTTTTCAGGCAATGAAAGCAATTTTTTCCTCACATCCGGCAACGACTTCAAATAAGAGGAAAAAAACGATCGGAGGGGCCTCCCGCTGCGAGAAAGGGGCCAGGTGTGGGCGCGGGCCAGGGCGCCTCCAGGGGCCTGGCCCCCTCCGCAGGTGTCGGAGCACGCGCCGGTCACCCAGGCACCCGGGTTCCCCGAGCGAGAGGAGCCCTCCCTCCGCAACGGACGGAGCCTGTCCGGACCCCCCAGCCCACCCACGCTCTGGGCCTCCATTGCAGGCGCTGTGGGCGGCAGGGCAGGATGCTGGCAGCGCGGGCATCAGCGGGCCGGCCCCCCCGACCTGGGAGGTTAAGACAGAGCCACAAATCACCGAGCTGTAGCCACGATGAGGACCAGTAACAGGTTTCCTCAGCTGCGGCTTCTGGCATGCCCAAGGCCTCTGCCGGTACCCTGCCAGCTGCAAGTGGGGCGTCGGACAGTCAGGGCTGCGGGGACATCCGGGGACCGGGGGGCCCTCGCCTGGGCGGGGAGGAGCTCGTACTCGGAGGGTATGTGAAGGCGATTCCCGAGCCCCTGCAAAGGAGCTCAGGGCTCATCAATGACATTCATGGCTCCTTCTGACTCCAATATCCGCGTCACTTCATGTGGAGAAGTGCTACCAACAGGGCTTTTGATGTAGAACAAACATTGTTCTTCAAAATGGCATTCTGCTCAGGGACACTGTCGGGGATAGTTCCTGCTGCAGACGTGGCGCTGGCACCCTCTGCTGCGGGGCCAGCCCCAGGGGGCCGGGCTGGGATGAGCCCGCTCGCAGAGGACGGCAGGAATGACCCAATCCACGGAGGCGGCCCCGCCCACCCTGACTTCCGCTTCTTAAGGACCGGGGGCGCATCTGAGGCTCTGGGGGGGCTGCTTCCCAGACGAGCCAGGAGCCCAGGGATGGAGGAAGCGCGTCCTGGTGGGCCGTGTCCCAGCGCACTGAGACGCTCCAACAGTGGCCGAGTCATGGCTGGCTATGTGGGCACCTCCAAGCCAGGGGCTGGGCGTGCAACCCCCAGGGCAGGCGGGCCTCCTGGCCCCAGGACCCCGTCTCACCCTCCCACCTGTGGCCCTTCCCACCCTGCTTCAGGCTGTTCACTTTCTAGTGGCACTCGGGGCGTGCAGATGGCGTCCAGGCGGGTTCCGTGCTCGTAACTGTGACGAGGCGCGTGGCGTCTAGCCCAGAGGCGCTCTTGGAGGGGTCCCCAGATCCTACCAGGGGTCGCAACACTCCTGAAGCCAGACGGCACTTACACGTTAATTAATCCACGCGTCCCATTTGGGTAAATCAAGTAACAGGAGGGAAGGGACGAGACACCGAGTTTCTCCAGGAAGCCCGTCTCTGCACTCAGCACTCTCTTCACCACAATGTTCTCGTACGGAAGCAGGTCTAAGATCACCTGTGGATGGACAAAGCAATGTCACCTTCCCTGGGGGGCCGCGTCTCAGGAAACGTTACCTTGACCGATCACAAAGCAGCGTGAGCATGAAAACCACCAACGGTGTCATCTGGACGAAGCCCGTCCTTCCCTCCCCCGTCCAGCCTTGCTTAGGCTGAAGGCACAGGGACAGGGACGGAGCAGCAAAAGGACCACAGCAGCAAAACCGTAGGAGCTGGAACAGCTTGAGAGATGACCCCCGAGCCTGGCGCGCCACCAATGCGATCAGGTGTGGAACCCACACCTGTCAACTCCTTTCAGCCAAAGGGTACGCGTGTCCCAAGCGGGGCCGTTGCCGGAAGTGCGCACCACGCTCTCCACGCCGGCCCCACTGCAGAGTGCCCTCCGGGAATGGCCGCAGCCACCCGCCCTGGGGAGCAGCCCCCGCCCGGCATCCCTGCATGCGGGAAAGGAGGGCCGCCCGAGGACACAAGTGCACAGCAGGGAGAGGCAGCTTTGGGACAGCACGGGGGGTGCCAGGTGAGAATGCTGGTCCTGCTGCTGGTGGCTCCTCCTAGCCTGCCCGCCGCCCGGGGAGTTCCGGTCAGCCACAGAGATGGCGGGACGATGTCGCCGGAACCCGGAGGCGGAGGCACAGGCACAGTGCGGTGTTCAGACTGCGGACACTCGTAGCCTCCGCGTGAGCGCGCACTGACGAGCGCGCCTGCCAGGAGCACATGGTGTCCCGCCTTCCCTCCCAGAGCTCCCGGAGGCAGGCAGCACGGTGAGCGGGAGGAGGAGGAAGGCGCTGGGCACAAGCAGGAGAGCCCCAGCAGCCAGCCGCTCCCTCCGCCCTCTGAGGACCTCCCATCCTCCACGCTGGAGTCTGGCACCAGAGGCGGAGGCTTCAGACCCCACGTACGGAAAGAGAACAGAAGAAAGTTCCACTGTAGAAACGACGTTTTATATCATCTTGGACCTGGTGGAAAAGTTAAGTGTTTCCAACACAGCCAAGAAAAAATTCTAATGGAGATGTCTGTGAGTAAGAAATAAAGAGCCTCGAGGGAAGAGGCAGGGCGCCCGGAAATCTGGGTCTGGGGGGCCCCGCTTGGGCCCCCGCTTCGCCGTCGAGGCCCCTTCTCACAGTGTTTTCTGCGAACCAGCCAATCCGCTGAGCGACACCACAACGTCCCAAGAATTAACGGGAGCGAGATGCGGGAAGGCCACAGGCAGGAGGAAGAGGTCGTTACCGTGGGGAAAGGAATTGCGGCACGCTCACAGAGAGACGGGGACAGACACGGACACGGTACCTCACGGCCGACATAGGAGCCGTGGCTCTCAAACAGGACGGCCACGTAATGGCCACCACGAGTGTCCACAAGGGAAAGGACGTCGCTGGGCCTTTGAGAGAAACAAAGAGGCTTTCAGTGCTTCCAAGAGCAGCGGGCTGGCCCTCCCGTGCAGCACCCACACACTTCATGCAAATCCGTGTTCACGAAATTCGGCTCCAGTCCCAACACTCCCCTCGACACGCAAGTACGCACGGAATGGGGTCCAATGGCGGGCAAGCAGGTGGCCTGTCTCCATCTGTGTGGTTCTGCAGGAAGTCGACCATCGTCCGCCTCACCGTCTGCAGCTCTCGGTCGGGCCCTGCGGGAGGCATGCCACTGTCACCACGTGGAATGCCACTGCCCCAGGGCCCCAGATGGCACCGCATGGACACGGGCGGGATGCACCGATGGTCGTCGACAGACCACGGTGGGTGCACAGGACAGAGCATACGGTGACTGGTCTGGAACCAAACGGGCACCAGGGGCCAATATCACACACAGGGCGTGGAGACGGAGTGTTCAGAACACGCCCGGTGACCCTGCTGGAGACCCACCGTCCCCGGGAGCCTGACCTGGGCACTGGCTCCCGGTCGGGGGGGAGGGGGTGTCCCTCATACAATTCACTAGGCAAGCACGTGGTTCATGAACTTCTCCAAATAGTTTTTGAGTAAGGAGTTTACTTAAAAAGATTTCACTGTCAAATTTAACAAGGGAGGCAAAACCTGGAATAAAAAATTGTTGCCGAAACTATGATACTGCTTGAGCCGTCTGAGGACAGGTGGTCAGAGGTGCCGACGCAGATTCGCTGACGCTGGCGTGGAGGCCCACGGACCCCGTCCCACGGGCTCCCTGCTCTCCTGAAATCACCTTCGCTTGAACGGGTTTATGAGGCGACTCTGACAACAAAATATAAAACTCGTCCTTACCTTTAAAATTTTCTCCAGTTGTAAAGTCCTTTGTAAACGCCTTGAAATACTAAGAGAAAAAACACAGAACAAGTAATAAACAACCAGACCTGGTGTCTGCATATTTAATCTCGTTTTTTTAAAAGATTTTTTAAAAATTTATTTGACAGAGATCACAAGCAGGCAGAGAGGCAGGCAGAGAGAGAGGAGGAAGCAGGTTCCCCGCTGAGCAGAGAGCCTGACGTGGGGCTCGATCCCAGGACCCTGAGATCATGACCTGAGCTGAAGGCAGACGCTTAACCTGCTGAGCCCGAGGCACCCCTGTGCAAATGTTTAATCTTGAAGCAAGAAAATGACCATCGTCTTAAAAGAGCTTGAGTTAATCTGCTCCAGCAAGTTCCTGTTAACTGAGAAGGAGCCGCACGTTTCCATGCACGCCGGCAGCCATCCGTGTTTCCAGGCAGACGCGTCGGGGCTCCGTGATGTACACTCTCTGACCCAGCAGGGCCAGAAGCCAGGCCGTGCAGCCAGCGCTTTCCCTGACTCCCAGCACCAACGTGCATCCCACTGGCCGGCTCCGACCTTCATGGCGGGTGACAGATGCCACAGGACATCTCGGGGCAGAAGAAAAGAAACTCTTCAAGTTAAAAACCTTCTTCGCTAGAAGAGATGCGGAAGAGGGTGAGAACTGCAAACCGGGGGAAGAGCCTCTCCGTTCTCGCAATTGAAAGAAAGGTCAGCGTCGAGAACGTGCCCAGGACTCCTGCCGATCAGTCACAAAAGCTGCACACGGAAGGAGCAGCTGCAGGACACAGCGCCCGTGAACAGAGGACGCAGCAGCGGTCACACAGGGAGGCGTTCTCAGGACTCCGGAGCCACCGCCGAGGGTGAGGGAGCTCTCGGCAGCCCTGTTCAGCGCGAGACCGAAGGCCTGGGGCTCACAGCCAGCACAGCACCCTGCGTGTGCAGCTAAAACACAATCAAACTCACACAGGGAAGGCGAGGGTGAGGCCGCGAAGCTCTGGAGGAGCGTCCCTAGGGGCGGAGGCACGGCTACCACTGAGCCCAGCCACGGGAGCTGCAGGACAGCACCGGGCCCCAGGCCACACGGAGCACAGGGTTTTGGGGCTGGAAGACTGAGGGCCTCCAAGCTTCCTCAGAGGCCGCATGTTTTCTGGGATGTAAATACCGTCCCGATGCACCCATGCTCCCAAGCGGGACTGCAGCGCGCACACACGTGCACATGGCCCCTGCACGTGCACCTTCGGAACCTTCTCAACAGATCTGTTTACTCTCGGCCTCCCCGTGGAAGAAAAGGGTAAAATCGGGGCACCTGGGTGGCTCAGTCATTAAGCCTCTGTCTTCGGCTCAGGTCATATCCCAGGGTCCTGGGATCGAGCCCCACATTGGGCTCCCTGCTCAGCGGGGAGCCTGCTTCTCCCTCTCCCGCTCCCCCTGTTTGGGTTCCCTCTCTCGCTGTGTCTGTCAAATAAATAAAATCTTAAAAAAAAGAACACAGTAAAACCTGCCTGTAGGGCCACCTGAAAGCCACCTGCCAGTGTTGCTCTGACAACATGACCCACCACATACATGGTGCGCCGGAGGGCCCCGAGCCTGACACGGGCCACACGGGCAGAGAAGCAGGGAGGACAGACCTGACCTGGGGAGCCCACAGCGGCTCCTTAGCATGGCCATGCCCACCGGGTCTGTGGGCTGCAGACCCCACCCTCCTCTGCTACTGCTACAGCCCCCCACAACACATACAGCCTGAGAGGGTGGAACGCCAGGGGTGACCCTGTGCAAACGAGTTCCTGCCAAGTCCCAAGTGACACCCCCCCACATGCCGGGTGCAGGAGTTACACACGCAGTCGATCTCGTGGGCAGGTGCCCCTCGGGCGGAGCGGGAGGAGGGCCAGGGTGGGAGAAGCGCTGGCCGCGGGACAGGCAGGGTGCTCACCCGGAAGGTGGGGTAGAAGTGGATGTCATAGGCTCGGCACACCTCGTAGTTCTCCTCCTCCCCGCAGTCCAGAGCGGCAACGCGGATGGCAGCAGACCAGTCTGAAAAGCAGGAGCGTGACCTTCAGTGTGGGTGTGCGCCCGCATCCACACGGCCCACTGGCCCACGCCCCACCTCAGGTCCTGGATCTAGCCCTCACGCGCCCAGAGCATTCCTGCGTCAGGCTGGAGGGGAGAACACAGCCTCCCCGGGCTGCAGGGCTCTCCCATCGCGGACAACACAGCCAACGGACTTCTGCCCAGTGTGCAAGCCGCCCCGCTCCCACCCGAGCACGGCTCTGCCGGACGGAAGCTGGCGGGTGCTGGCCTTCCCCAGGGGCCGCCGAGAGCGCCTGCAGGCGGAGAGGCCCGGCCGCGCGTGCTTAGCGACGACACTCCCGGGCACTCGTGCAAATGAGAACCTGTGGCCGCGGCGTCTGAGCCACGTTCTTTCTGGGAAGCGACTTCTACTTCCCGTGGACGCCTCCCCCAGACCCTCGAAAGCTGGCGCCGGTCCTAAGAGTAGAACAGGTGCAGTTTTACACATATATTTTGCTTATCTTTAAAGACTTTCTCATGGGAATGTTGCCACATGTGAGTACCACAAGGTCTCCGGCTAGGCGGCCCCCTCCCTCCAAACACGCTTCCACTCAACAGCCCCGCCACCCGGTCACACCCAGCAGTGGCCGCGGTCACACTGAGTCTCTCTCACACACACACTCTCTCTCGCTCTCTCCCACCTCAGGATTCAACCTCTCCTTAAGTTTCACTGGTCAGGAGGCTGTGACTGACTGTGTGTCTTTCCATCTACAGCCCTGTGCCCCACGCACTTCCTGTCGAAGACCTCGGGTCCCCCCAACATCAGGGCTGGGCTGACCGCACGTCTCTGCTTATCTCCCAGAGCCCGCGTGCACCTGCGTGGAGACTCGAGTCTGAGCCTCTGGGGAGATGGCTTCCCAGCTGGCCCTGTGGGTGGGTGACCTCTGGCTCCCTCCCTTCCTCCCTTCTTACTGACAGACCGCCCTCCCCTCCCCCGAATGTAGGCAGCGTGTCATCTCACCCTCCCCCCCGATCAGGGACGGGCAGGACACCTGTGCACAGAGGGGCCTAGCTCACGGCAGACCCGAGGCGCGGTGTGCACAGGGAGACAAGTGCTTGGCTTGGCCCTGTGGTTGCCAGTCTCAAAGGCACGGCTTCCCCAGTATCCTCCAAAAAGTGAGATTCTCTCTTTAAAAAGATTTGATCCCTCCCACGAGGATGTCCCAGTTAACGCTGCCAGACACCTCCCGGCTCCTTAGGGGCAGCCCGAGGAAGCAGGACACGGAGTGTGGCGGTCTGCAGACACCGCAGCAGGACGCTCCCCAGGCGGGGCGCTCCCAGCGGGACCCAGGCGCTCCAGGGACACTGCCCATGGGGCCACCAGGGGCGGTGGGCGGGTCCACTCCTGGTCCCCTGCAGCTAAGGGAGTGCCACGTGGGGGCTCCCACAGGTCCCGCACAGACTTCGAGGAGGCCCCGTACTGCCGGGCGTGCTGACGGGGCACCGCCGGGCTAATGCCGTCATCTGGTTAACAATCACGTCGCACAGGTCTGCCCGGGGCCTGGCTGCGATCTTGAACTTCAGAGGCTGCAACGAACACGGGCCTGGGAGGAGAGAAGGCACCAGACATGACCAGATCCCGCACCACACGAGCAGTTCTGGACGTGGCCAAGTCCGTAGCTTCCCAGTTTCCCAACTAAGGCACCACTTGTGCTAAACTACTCGCCTCCCTCCTCCGTCCTCATGAAGCCAGTGACCAGTGTCCACGCCGTGGGAAGACCCACCGCCGGCTTTCACCACCGAGGACCGAACACTGTCCCGCTCATGTTGCTTCCCGAAACCAAGTCCTGTCCCGAGGCCACTTCAGAGGGCTCCAGGCAAGAATCACAGAACCTTCGGGAACCGCAAGTCACATCTTTCCGGAGTCTCGGATTACATAGAACTAAGGAAGGACAGTTAATACTCGCATCCAATTAGGGCAGCAGATGGCCCAGAGCGGGCAGCTCGGTGCGGTGCCAGCAGTGCCCTCCACCGCGGCGCCCCCCCGCATGCCGCCCCCTCCACCGTGGCGGCCCCCACCTGCACACGGAGCCCTCCGGGGCGGTGGCCTCCACCTGCCACACGGTGCTCTCGTCGGCGGGCTCCATCCTGCATGCTGCCTCCTGCATGCAGCTGCCTCCGCCCTCCATACGCACCCACATTGCCCTGCTGGGGGGCCTCCCCCAGCCTGTCATCCTCGCTTCTCTTCCCATTCATCTTGCCAAAACGCCTCCTGTCTGCCTCCTCGTCCCTGCCTCACAAGCGCAGGGTTTCACGGTTTCCTGGGAATTTCCATGACACGCTGTCATTTCATGCTTAAAAACGTAAAAGCACCCACTGCCCGGAAAGAGCGTGTGAGAAAATGAAGGCCTGCCCCGAGGGCTAACCCTGAGCGTCTGGTAGAACCGCGATGAGTAATCCAGCCGGAATTCTCCGGAAGCGGAGAGCAGCGGAAGGAACCACTCCTCCCCGTCCGCGACGGCGCAGTTTCCGCGGTGGGACCCGGTCTGACTTCCTTGTCCTCCGAGTCTTACTAAGCACGTTTCACACAAAAGCGAATGCCCCCCACCCAGTCTGCAGGGGGCCGGCGGACACGGAGTCCTGTGGCTACTCGTGCTGTGCTCCGTTCCCACCTGCCGGAGTTCCCAGTGTAGAGAGGCTCCAAAGAGCACCCCACGAAGCAGCCCCGGGTCCTGACGCTGCACGTGACGATGATGCTGAGTGGAACCCAACCCAACGCCACAGCAGCACCAGCCACACTGCAATAGCCCTCCTGAGTCTAACAGGGCACGGAGACAGCGGGAACATGCTGGCTTCCCCCGCGGAGGTAAGAACGGCTGTCAGTCCCCGTGAACACCCTGGTAACCCCGAAGGCAGGATCGCGTGCTGCTGTGCCCTGAGAACTAGCGGCTGTCCGGCCTCAGGCTCAGCCCGCAGCCCCAGATGAGAGGAAGGGCTGGAAAGCGGCCACTGGTCCCTGCGTCCCTCTGCAGCCGCCCCCCTACCGCGACTCAGCAGTGCCATCCGGGTGCCCAGCTCTGAGCACACGCAGGATAAAGTCTGTGTCCCCGGGCAGCGGCCAGCAGCCAGGCTCCTGTACTTCCTCCAAACCGGCCGCGCTGACTGGGCTGCTCTTTTTCCAGGCTGACCTCCCTGGGGCCCCAACATCTGCCAGCTGTTCCCACCTCCTGCGCTTCCATGATAAGAAAAAACATTCTGACCGAGACTGAACTGTGATTCTTCAAATCCTAACCTTAGCTGGAAAGGACCCCGGAGGGTTGCCTAGCCCTCAGCAAGGCATGTATGTCTGTAGGCAAGATCACTTTCTGGGTGTCCTCAGAACCTTCCAGATTCTGCACATTTCTGCCATTTCATCAGCTGACTTGTACCCTCATCTCTTCCTCATTCATTCTTCCCCTCAAGCCACAGACAGGTCCAAGCGCACTCCTGCCCCAGGACCTTTGCACCTGCTCTTTCTTGGGGGAACACGCTTTCCTGCAACTTGTACTTGCTGCCTTATTCATCGATTTCAACACAAATGTCACCTCCACAGAAAGGCCTGCCCTGACTTTCTGCCCAGGCACAGTTAAAATGGCAAGAAGAGCTCCCCACCAGTCTTGCATCCAAAACAAAGTCAACTACACCGTATTTTACAAGCTTTCTTACCAAGCCACCACCTACCGAAGTCTGCCGGGTCAAAGAGGCGGGATGTTACAGCGGAGTGTCAGAGAGATTAAGGAATCTGCCTGGGGTTCACAATCCGCTTGGTGGCACCACTGTCACCTGCCGTCACAGGCACGCGGAGCACACGCAACACGAGTGTGCCGACTGACATATTCTCAAGGTTCTGCTCTCCCTTTATCCTACCAGCTCCACACGAAGACCCTCCCTCCTTCAAACCCCCCCCCCCCCGCCATGCGGCACACGCGTACTCCTCTGAACCGCACATGGTCACATGTGGAATGAATCACCCACGTCCTCAACGAGCCTCTGCACAGTGTCTCCTCGAGAAACACACAGAAAACCAGTTCTTTGGAAAAACCACCTATCCTTGTATTGCCAGCATATTTTCTACCATCCCTCCACCAGACCACGGCCCTCCGTGCACGGGCAGGAGCTGTGTCCGCTCCGCGGGGAGCCCCGCTCCGAGTCGCAGGTGCAGCCGAGCAGCCGGCGCCCCGCGCAGCAACACGGCAGAGGGGTTGCTTCCCATTCCCGGTGCCCCCAGGGCTCGACCCGACCCCCAAGAGCCAAACTGCTCTGCAAGGGCGGCCACGTCACCGCCTGCATCTCGTGCAGGACTCCACAATCTAAAACGCTCTGACCCACGGCAGCCCAGCTCAGCTCTGGTGCCCACGACTGTGACGTGACTTTACAGGCAAGAGAGCCGGCGCCTAGGCCCCACAGGCTAAATGAGGGGCACCCAGTGCCGCCTCCCTTGCCCGGGCCTCGGGGCTGCCCCAGCCCCGAGCTGGGCCATCCTGAGTTTGAGGACAGTAACCAGGAAACTGTCGCTTGGCGTCACAAAAGCGCCAGGTGGCTGATGGTCCTCACCTCCTCTGCCCCTTCCTCCCCGTGACACTCGTGACACCGCTTCCACCTGAGCATGGCTGTTCCTACTCATCCCAACGCAGGGCGAGCGGCACACGACAGGCCGATCCCGCTCTGCCAGCGCAGTGCTGACGACGCGCCACCCCAGGGACATGGGGGGCGAGAAGGGGGATTCTTCTCTGCCTGACAAAGGGGAGGCCTGCGTGCAGAAGCAGGAGACGTCGCCAAGGCAGGCTGTGCTGGCGATGGGCACCAGCAGGGGCCTGGGAGCCGTCCGGGGTGGAGGCTGCCTCTACCTGCCACACTCCACGCAGATGGCAGCAAGCTGGGACCAGGTATGGCCCCAAGAGGACCCTGATGGCTCCCAAGGAGCAAGGCCATTCTCAACCGGCCACACAGTCAGGACAGGCCCCCCTCTCGCCTTGCTGCGTTTC